CACAATGAAATATAAAAAAAAGTTAAGAAGCTGGGTTTATTTGGCCGAGTGTGAATAGGTGTGAGCCACAATAAACCCTTGCGGGTTGCGGTGGAGGGTCGAATAGACCCACTCACTTTGGACCTAACCTAACATAGTTGCTAAGTGTTGTAATAAATAAATTAGTTTGTGATTAGTGAAATATTGTTGGAAATAACTTTGTTTGAGACAGTTAATTATTTAATTTTCACAACAGTATTTGGTATTGGTTTATCATCATCATTCATAATATGTTACTTATTTCTCACTCTCGACTTTTAGATGCAAAATAATTGATTAAATGAGAAAATGCATTAACCTACAGAAAAGGTCTTTATATTCGAACATATTTGGAAAAAACTCAATATTTTCGGATTAAAAAAAAATTGGTGGTGCAGCCAGGAAACGACTGAATATTTTCCTCTAGAGCGGGGTACCTTATGAAACCGCCTTGCACCAAATTCTTGAGCAGCGTACGCAGAATCTGTCTCAGGTGGAGGAACAAACTCTCCATGAGCGTTAGCAAACTTTGCGCTCAAGTGATGTACCTGCCCTGCTTGCTGGGGACTGAATCAGGTTTTTAGAGTTCGGCAGAGCCGTACTTTTACCATCTGACCTGAAAGACCAGTCACCATACAAACTAATCGACATCGTTGAGAAGCTGGGTTTTTTTGGTCGAGTGTGAGCCACAATAATTGCGGGTTGTGGTGGAGGGTCGAATAGATTTACTTTGGACCTAACCTAACCTAATATCTAAAGCCAATAATTATAGTGACAGTTGTCGCCCCATATCTGAAAACCTAGAAATACTCACCGTACCGTGTATTTACATCCTCAGTTGTTTGCTGGATATTTATAGAAATAAAGAAAAACTTCAAAAAAATAATTCACATCACAATTATACAAGAAATTGTAACTTGTCGACCAACTTGACATCGTTTATTGACTTCTGAACGCATGCCTTAGACGTGAAGTTATATAATAAATTGTCAGTGCATATTAAGGAACTACCTACCCTATAAGTTCATGATACTAATTCGAAAATATTTAATGGCACACTGCTTCAACTCGCCGTGAGAGTATTTGGAGGCCGATGTGAGTTCATGGGAAACTACATAGCTTCATAACAAACACATGCCATTGGGGAGCACTCTTCACCGAATTTAATTTTGAATAATTAAAATATGGGTAGTGGCTGTACTCGAAACATTCGAATCAATTCTCCTACACCTCATACATGCATTCGATACTTTTCACAGCTCTTCTTCTGCTAGGAATTCTAAAACAGCATAACAGATCTCATGGTGGAAATGAAGAATAATTTTCTCAGTCACCAAATGACTTGAAGGTAGTAATATAGGATGAAGAAAATCATATGAATCTGACGTTTAGTGATTTTAGTTTAATTCCATCCAACAAAGGGCACAACTTCGTATCTTTCATTTTCAACTTCATTAAGATTCGCTCTGAATTATCGTCATCAAAGCACTTGAGCGTTATTCAATTCCTCGGCTTAAAGACGTCCTGTTTTCTTTTCCGAGTTGGATTTCGATTATTATAAACGAACCTGAAAATCCAACCCATCATATTCAGATTTTGTTGGTATTTGGAGAAATACCTGTGATTGTCGGACAATCTCCACTTCAAATCAAAATTTTGCTCTGGCTGGACCCTCCCACCACTTTCAGCAATAAAAGTTGTTTGGCAAACAACCTCTCGATGGAATGATTTATAATACCAAAATGATTTTGAAGTAGATTTCCAGATTTCTTGAATTCTATTGAAGACGAATGGCTTCCAGATATTTTCTCGACGAATCCAAGCAAGAACAGAATATATCTAAGTTCAACCATAAAATCCAAAACAGAATTCAACAATCTAACACCAATGGTGGCCCCCAACAACTCAAGTTGGGAATCTTTATTCCCCTTATGGTGCTTGCTACTCTGTTTTTAGCTTGAATTAACTGTCAATTAACATCATTTGATATTTTAGTTCTGAGAAAAATAACAGAGGCATATGCCTCTTCACTTTACATGCAAGCTTCAACCAGTAGCAGTAGATGCAAATATCCATTGAGGTGTTTTCATTTTCCTCAAAGAACTTATGATGTACTGTTTGGAACCTTTGGTGTAGTAATGAATATTACTGGAGTTTTTTCCCAACACCAAATCTACAGACTTTTTATCGGCCGATAGTTAAGTATGGTTGGGTTTGGTGGGGGCACACTACTCAAACAAAACTGTTCGGTTCGGTGCGGGTGCGCAGACCACCAATTGAAAAGTCCGAACAGTTGTTGATGTATATAATATTTTGACGCGTTGTATTGAAAGTATTGAAAAATGTTATCGAGGAAAGCTTGTTTTCTTCTGTCTTCAGCATCCATTTCACTCCATGCAGGAACAACAATTGCACAAACCTCATCCCATAGTTTCTTTTCAATATTATCATCGGAATATTCTTTTAATGCTCTATTATAAAATGCAGGTCGCTTTTCAACTTCCGCAATTATATTTTCTACTGAACATTCGGCAATATTTGACATGATTATGAAAAAAAAATGTAATGAAAACGCAAATATATTCAAAGATAAAGTAGGTACTAGATAATATTTGATATCAGATATCAACAATGGAATGTAGAGTGGGGAGTCTGCAGGCACCGACTGTTTAGTTGGTGATTCTGCGCACTCTCATAAACACACAGTCTGATTAAGACTCGGCCGATAGTTGTCTAACTTTGTAATTGAATCAGAATTGGGAAGCCTACCCAACCTGTTTCTGATTATTCAGTCGGCCAACTGAAATCGCTCAGATGTGCGGACTCACATTACGATTCTATACTAATAAGCATCCATCTGAACTATCGGCCAATAAAAAGTCTGTAGTGTGCGCTTGCCCTTAGCGGTGTTTTCGCGGTAAGTTTACCGTATCAAGAATATATTACTGATCTTTATTGTTATTGAATTTCACCTTATTTGTTTCATCTACAGCAGCCAAAATAACAAATTTCTTTCAAAAACTCATACCTCCACATACTCCATACTGGAAAAAAAAGATGTTCCGAAACTTTCCGTAAAAACCATGTCATATTCTTGCGCCCACACACCAGAAACTCGGGCCATAACTCCCAGTTCGACACAATGATAATGAAGCTGACCAAAACAGGCAAATACATGAAGAATATGGTGAGTGATGCCCAAATTGGATCTTTATTTCTGTAATGACTAATTACCACTCCTATATCTCCAGCAATCAAAAATGTATACAGTACACAGGCACATATTGAAGGCACTAAATGATTCACTATGGCATCTTGATGAGGACTGAGCACATAACCCAATAAAGTCTTTTTCTTTGAGTCTGCTTTCTCAGTAATAATGTCGCTTCAATATTCCAGAAAACTTTATAAAAGCAGATTCAAAATCGTCAATACATTAAGAGTCTAACATATGCATAATTAAATTATATTTGATTTAAGTACCATCTGGTGCCCTAATGCAAATTTAATACTTAACAACTAATATTTCAATACAGCTTTATTGTCTTAGGGGTTTTAGTGATTGTGTTAAAGTTTATTTATTTTTTCATTTATTTGGTATAAAACAGGAAAAACAACGTTGCCTTTTGAATTCAAAAATTTACAAAATTAGTACGAATATTGAGATAAATAAAATAAAAAGCAACCTAAACACTGAATGCTGAATAAAATAATTATAACTAACATCAGCACTAAAAATTAACAAACATACAAGTCATACATCTATAGACTAAATAAATAATTGACTGCAGACATTTTGAAGGCCTCCAAGGAGTGAATAAAAAAAATCAAGTTCTACTGCTTTAGCTCCTCTCAACATTCTTGACATTGGACTATATACAATTGGTAATTCTATCAGTTCTCATAATCATGAGTTCACAATGAAATCAGCTCCATCGTCCCTTATTACTCTTTGCTTGACTCTCGGCAAACCAAAGAGAGAAGTTCTGGGCAATTGGTCTGGCCTGACAAGGTTAGCTTAAATCCGCTGGTTTTCCAATATGGTTAGATGTAGTGTAGAAAAAAATAACGGTTTAGTTTTATCCCTGGTAAGAGGGACACCACACATGGATGCATACTTCAAATGTCACCTAATGAACAATACAGAATTTTCAATGTGCTTGCTGATGTCTTTAGCGATTACATATCCAAGAAGTTTAAATTATTCAATCACACGATATAGCTTGAGATCATCAGCAAATAACAATCCATCTGAGTCAGTAGTGTGTGCAATAACATCATAAATAAAGATTTTGAAAATTATTGGTCCACAGTGGCGGTCCTGAGAAACACCAAAGCAGGCCGTTTCATTTCGTTCTTTTGCTATGCATAAAACGCTACATGAAGTCAGTTCGGCTTCAGACAGGACTGTTTCAAGTGACACAAAACCTGTGCTGATATAGTCAAGATTTTGGGGCTGGTCAACATACGGTGATGTGACTTGATCAAGGCCTTCGACTGTGTTCTCACAAACTACAATTTTACGGTAAACATGGAAATTATTCGAATCGTACTTGAATGGTAGGAAAAAAGCTGTTCTTATAGGCAACAGCTATTCTGAAAACGGAAACATTCATTTTCTTTTGCCCACTTTTGTTCATTGTCTATATCAATGACATATTTCATTACACGTACCAATCAAATATATTTGTTATGCAGATTACTGCTCCTTTATGTTTCTAGCAAGAAACTTGATCACTTGGAAGAAACTTCACATGATTTTTTAAGAAACGAAACATAATTCGTTTCTAATTACTTGAAACAATAAAAACAAAACTCAAAATATTGTTTTTTCAACCAACAATACGATTGCCAACAATTAAGAAGATAAATTACTTGGAATTGTTATGGATGACAAATTAAAATGGTCAGCGCATATTAAGCACCTAAGTAAAAAATTAAACTCAACTCCCTTCATACTACGGAAACTGAGCAGATTTGATGACCTGACAGTTTTGAAAACATCCTCTCACATATTAATTACTGTGTAACTCTATGGGGAAACGCTGCAGACTCTGTGAGAATTTTTAGACTCCAGAAACGAGCTTTATGAATAATATCTGAAGCTGGCGGGTTAGCTGTCCTTGCTCATCTTTCACTGTTTGAACCACTGTGCATGCTGTTTATGGCGAGTGCATTGGCTTGGGATAAGTTGAGCAAACCGGCCATCGCGATCGGATGCCTGCTTCCACGTAGACCCGCTGGATACGGATATGACAATCACTTGTGGTTCTGTGAATGTCATCCCAACGATGGCTTAATCTAGAGAATCTGCTGGATCTACGGAACCTTCGAGATACCGGGCACCCTCTCGTAGCATCGCCTTGTTATGGTAATGCTGGGCTCTGCCGTGATTGACCTTCTTTCCCTCGCTACTTGTGGGACTTTTATGGACAGAGTAAACTGACGCTGAGTCTGCAGAGAAGATGGTTGTCGACTCCAAATCTGAATTTGGAGCGAGAGCTTCTCAACTCTCCAACTCCTGATCCAATAACTGAACCTAAAAAAAAAGTTGGTGGTGCAGCCAGGAAACGACTGAATATTTTCCTCTAGAGCGGGGTACCTTATGAAACAGCCTTGCACCAAATTCTTGAGCAGCGTACGCAGAATATCTGTCTCAGGTGGAGAAACAAACTCTCCATGAGCGTTAGCAAACTTTGCGCTCAAGTGATGTACCTGCCCCGCTGGGGACCGAATCAGGTTTTTAGAGTTCGGCAGAGCCGTACTTTTACCATCTGACCTGAAAGACCACTCACCATACAAACTAATAGACTTCGTTAAGAAGCTGGGTTTTTTTGGTCGAGTGTGAGCCACAATAATTGCGGGTTGTGGTGGAGGGTCGAATAGATTTACTTTGGACCTAACCTAACCTAACCTAATATTTTTTATGGTTAATTCCGTAGTTGTATATCATTGCAATAACTGCTAATGACGTCCCTTCTCTTAATAACAAATTCTGTAAAGTTCCTGAAAAATCGTTTGAAACAACGAAATGTTTCAAAATTCATAATGGTACAGTTCATAAAATTTCGAATACAAAATCTTCTTTGAATGAATCAGCTTTGACACAAGCTGTCGATTCTGTTCTGCCTCATTCACCTTACGTTTCATGAATTTTCTTTAGAAAAACATCAAACTTCTCAACTCCATCTTAGATCGATAAAACTGTTCTAAGCTTGTTTTGAATAAAATAGCTGATGGTGACATCAGAATCTTGAACTCAAATGATACATTGGCCAAATACGATAAATCTACACTTTCAGTTTCCTCGATCAGATTTCTTCACACATTTTCTGGATTCGCAACACACAATTTTTCAGAGTTTCCGGTGTTCCAATTTTCAGATCATGAAGTATCGGAGGCAGTTAAATCTTTTCGTTCTGGTTCTGCCCTAGCCACATGCAAGACCTCATTAGTCACAGCTCTGGAAATTCATGACAGAAACTTTTTCTTACAAAATTATGTAACTTCATTTTTACTGGTGGGTTTCTTCAGAAATTAATCTTATACTTTTTGGTGCATCACTGTGTGCTCTTCGGAAAAAGGATGGAGGAGTAAGACCGATTGCCATCGGTACCTTTTATGGAAGTCCGAACTGATGAAATACACCACGAAGCATTGTCAACCACCTTCAAACAAGAAGAATTAGCCTTGATAGGAGACTGATGAATATCCTCATATCTCGTTTTGTTTCGAAGAGATTTCAGTTCCATACTTAAATTAGGGTAATGCATGATCTCATCAAAATTATGTGAAGGAGGAATAGTTCCAAGGACCGGAGCAGCATTACCACATTGAATAGCAATACTAATTCTTTTTATCAAAAAAGAGGTAGAACGGTAATCTTTCGTTGCTTGGCCTTTCTTCTTTCGAGTTCATGAACGAATAAAAGAGACTCCGATCCATAAACACCAAAATTTTCAACCGCTACAGGATGGAACAGATTGTTACCAAGATTTTGTATTTTTTTTCTTTTCAATTTTTGCCAGACAATGCTGCGGTTCCAGCAGACTTCGAACTTCAGCATAAAAGACGTCTTTGATATTGATAAATATGGAAGGAAGGATGGAATCTATAAGATCAGAAACATTATTTGACTGATGAGAGAAGAGCTGGTAAAGGTAAGGAAGAAACCGAACGTAGCGCTAGTCCGCCAAGGTTTACAGGAAGCGTTGCTTGAAGACATGAATCATTATCGAAATAATTGTTTGTAACATATTCCGTCGTGTTGCGGAGTAAATTATCAAATTTGTCAAGCTCTAAATGACTTGACCAAGTGGGGGAACATCTGAGGGCGTACATGAGTTTTGGAATCGCCAAACAATTTTTCCAAAGAAAAAATGCAACGTGTTTTGGAAGTTCATTCAATCTGGTGGTCAGCAATTTGAGTGATTCCCGTTTTTCTCGAAGATGTTCTGAAAGTGAATCTTTAGAGAGAGGAGCACCCAGAAGACTCCATTTAGACTTTTCCAAAATTCTTATGCCAGGAGCCAATTTCAAAATGGATTCGGAAATATTATTCGGAGTTGAAAGAGTAATCAACTCGCATTTTTCAAAATTTAGTTCAAGTCCAAGATGTTTTGAATAATCAATGATTTTTTCTAAATC